TATTATCAACCAACTTGCAGCTGTGTTAAAGCTAGCCTCTTGAACAGGATGTTGGTAGTGGTGGGGACACTGTGTAAGGTAAAGGTAAAGGTAAAGGGACCCCTGACCATTAGGTCCAGTCGTGACCGACTCGGGGGTTGCGGCGCTCATCTCTCTTTATTGGCGGAGGGAGCCGGCGTACAGCTTCTGGGTCATGTGGCCAGCATGACAAAGCTGCTTCTGGTGAACCAGAGCAGTTCATGGTAATGCTGTTTACCTTCCCGTCAGAGTAGTACCTATTTATCTACTTGCACTTTGATGTGCTTTCGAACTGCTAGGTTGGCAGGAGCAGGGATCGAGCAACAGGAGCTCACCCCGCTACGGGGATTTGAACCGCCGACCTTCTGATCGGCAAGTCCTAGGCTCTGTGGTTTAACCCACAGCGCCACCCGGGGACACTGTGTACTACCAAGCAAATCTGAAAATTCTGACATCATCTCTCTTAGGAATTTATCCTGTGCATTTTTATTGTTTGTAAGGCATCAATTACCCCTGCCCCTCTTGAAAATGGACACTGGGTGGAGCCTGTTCTTCTTTTATAAACCGCTTTGAGTTTTTACAATCAAGTGGTGTATAACTTTTATGAAATAAATAAAATAAATAAACATTATATTCTCTGAATGGACATATCAGTCTCACTCTGATAGCTTTCAAGGGAGATACCATGATGTGTTTATGTATTAACTTTCCCCACCCCTCAAAACTGGGTGTTTGGATTCAGGTGGGGTACATTCTCAAAATCTAGAAAGTTACCCTGAATGTGCACACTGTAACTCTGATTCCTCAGTCTTCCAGGTGGTTGTTGTATTATGATTTATATTACATATTGTCTGCCTCACCCCTGATTAGTATGGGTTTGAGCTGATTCCCCCCGTTCCACAGAACTTCAAACCAAGAATGTTGAAACACTGAACTATCATTCAGAAATGGCATGGGCGGTCAGAACATAATCTTAAGGTTGGATATAGTCATGTACAGAGGTGATTCTTCATATGCCAAGGTCCCAAGCAATGAAGGGCATTAAAGGCCAGCTCTTTGACCTGGACCTAGAAATGGACTGCATGTTGGAGAAGATTCGAAAGTACTGGTATGATATGTTCCTAAGAACCAGTCCCAATTGCTTTGCAGTTTTCAGGCTGCTTTGAAAGGCAGCCGCACATACAACATACTGTAGCAATCCAGACAGAAAGATATCAGGTCCTGGATCACTGTAGGATATTTCCAGTAGTGAACTTTGGATACTAGCTAGCAAAATGCCCATCATTATGATTGGCAGGATATAGGAGGAAAGCAGATTTGTATTCTGAATCCTCTGAAAGGGTGCAGTATGACTCATTCCCTGCTCTGGGGGCTGGGGGCTGGGGGCTGTACTCAAATGCAGCATTTTATTTTTTTGTAATAATGAATGGTGGCCATTCACTTATATAGGAGAGCAGAACACTAATCCTTGAAGCTAGTTTATTCAGCAAGTCTTTTAATGGCTTCCTTTGTAATCTTCTGGTTTTGGGGGTGGTTGTTTTTTTAAAAAAATTCTGCCATTTTATAGAATTTTACTGTTGATTTCATTGGCTTGTATGATAACATCCATTTTACTGGTTCTGCCTTTTGGCTGGCCTCTTCTCACCTTCTCTTTATGTTTTATCCTTATTTTAAAAGTTTTAAACAGCTGTTTCTATGGCAGTTTGTGAGGTGGAAAAATGACATGCAAATACTTAAATAACTGAAAATAAACACTGGAGATCTGAGAGTAAATGCAAAGGAAGAGAAAGGTAAAGAAAGCAAAGGGTTTGGCTGCAGATTTTATAAGGTCATTTATACCCAAACCCTTACTATGACATAAATCAGTGTGCAATCGGGATGTTCACCAACAGTGTGAAGTACATTTTTCTTCCCTTTAACAGCTAGTTCTTTGGATTTAGAAAATTAATTTTCATCCTAGGCATGCTGGTATTGTCATCAATGTACTTTATTATTTGGTGTTTTGGTTAGAAAGACCCTCATTGGCTTTTTTGAAGAGTTGTATTTTGATATAATGTGCACTTTGTTCACACAAGATCAAGAAAGACTCATGTGTACACAACATACGCACCATTCTCAGAATGGCTGTTTTCAGAAATTTAAACATTTCCATTCTTTCAAGAACCCACTCCAGCCTACTACAGTGGTCTAATATCTAATATGCTGTACCAGTCTGACGTACTGAGGTAACCAAGAAAAAAGGCAGTTGCCAGTGGAGAAATTATACATATAAAAACATTTCCAGAAAATGAGCAATGGGGTGCTTAGCTGCTGGTCTACTATAATTAGTGTAAGTTTCTCTTCTTTAAAGTAGATTGAAGCCAAAGGAGAAAATTTATCAAATTAAATATAGGAATCTTCCTTCTTTCTAGGAAAATAATCTGGTAGCTGTGAATGGAGAGACAAAATCCTCTGAATTTGTGAGGTTCTTCCATTTTACATCCTGATATCTAGCTGGAATAATTTGTTAATCAGATAATTTGCATGTAGTTTTACAATAAAATAAAACAAATTTGATTGCTGCATATCCTGATCACACCTTTGCTTTTTATTAATGGTATATAGCCAGCTATGCTAGTAATTAACCAATTAAAAATCCAGTGTTTATACTGATCACACTTTTGCTTTTTATTAATGGCATATAGCCAGCTATGCTAGTAATTAACCAATTAAAAATCCAGTGTTTATATGAAGCAACACTACAGCTGGTTGCTATGCAGGCAGGTATAAATGTATCTCTAATGATGCTTTGTTGTCATTATACTGCAAAGATGAGATCCTTCCTGTGCTTACCTCCGAGTAAATATGCATAAATATGACCCAAAAAGCCTTGCACGCAAGTCCCCTTGAAATCAATGGGACTTATTTATGAGAAAACATGCACATATTTGCATTGTATAATCTATCTCCCTATGCAACATATTTCCAAGCCACTTTCACAAAGTACTATGCTCATTGTTAATGCATTAATAGGCAAAATTGAAAACCCTGCTCGTTCTTTTTAGATAGTCCAGCTATCCTAATGCATGGCTTAAAAAGCTATGCGCAATCCAGCTAGACACACTTGAAGCTCATTGAAAGTATATGCACATAACTGTGCTTTTGTGTCACACTGATTTCAATGGTGCTTATGCCTGACTTTCCCTGTTGGTAATGTGTGCTTTCTCTAATAGAAATTCATAATGCAGTAGCCTGTAACGCATCATTAATATGCCTGTTATTACCATAAGCAAATCGGTAGGCAAGCTGGCATCTGGTGGGCTAGTGCTGAATCCCCAGGGATTAGGGAGAGGTGTGCATTTTCTCTTGGCAGAGGAAACAGTGCCTACCATAAGTATGCACATAGCCCTCTCTAATCCCTAAGGATTCAGCATTAGCCCCACAAATGCCAGTCTCTCTACTGAGGGAATCAGTTTCTGCAGCCACTAGACCACTGTCTGGATAATGAAGTGGCCCCTGAATATGTATGACTTCAATAAACCTTTCAGCTGATAGTAACACTTGCTGGTAGTGAGTTCTCACAATATCCTACTATTTTATTAGCATTGTCATTGCACTTACTGTGATTATTAGAAATCAATCTTGGTCTTGCAGTTGTGACAGATAACTCTACTGAGGAGTCATCCAGTAAAATAAATTAGCACTTTTAGACCCTTCCGACAGCTATATTTGGAGTGATCATATATGATCTCCTCCAGAAATTACTTTACATGCATGATGAAAAAGTTGTGCTAGTGGAACAACTGTTCTGCATATGCAAAGCTGAACTGGATCTTACAACACTGGGCAAAAGTAGCACAGCCAGGTTTTTGTCTGCTTGACATATAGGTCACTCTCGGAGGAACTGGGGAAACTGAGCAACCTACAAAGTTGGGGGAAAGTTCTACTGGACAGCATATTCATATGGATGACTGAATATGCCAATGTGATGGGTACTACCACACAGGTCACATGAGGATAGGCTACCCCACATACTTCTAAATGTGAATACGAACCACTAGGAGTAGTTTTTCCACATACGGAACACGTTTTATGAAATGTCTTGTTGCACTTCCGAGTTTCTAAATCAGGACCCATTGTTTACACCTGGGAATGATATCTGAAGCTTGTTTGTGAGGAAGCAAATTTAAATTAGTGTGTTGATGCTGCTTTTAAATGCTTTTAATGAGGAATAATTTGCTGTTCAAAAATTCTACCAGTAATAATGCCATAACTTTTTCCACACTGATTATCATGAGTGCTTTAAAACATTCATTGTTCTAAGCAGTAATGTTTGGCTATCACAGTTAGGGATTTTTATTGGGGGTGGAGGGAGGGGTGGAATCAACACAGAGAGCCCAATCCCTGGAGCAGCAGAAAGCTGGCTACTTCTGTCTTGCTGCCTAAGAAACCCCTTTCCAATCTTTCTACCATTGGAAATAGGCTATGTACCAAAACTGACAGGGATCCAGTTAAGGTGATTGCAGTATGCTTTTTGAGAGAGAGGGTTGCTTATCCATGGGATATGACTAACCAATTCCTTATGAATCTTTAAGAAGGCAGCAGGAGTCTTTTTCAAGATGTCATCAGGTAGACTTAATGTACAGTGGTTGCCACTGATAACCTGCCTCACCTAGTTTGCACATTCAAAAACATTTTGCTCTACCATCTAACCAAGAAATAGTGAAGGACTTAAACCAGGTTTCCCCAACCTAATGCAGATGTTTTGGAGGAAACTCCCATCATCCATTATCACTGGCGATGCTGGCTGGGGCTGGTGGGGGTTGCTGTCCAAAATATCTGGAGGGCACCGCGTTGGCAGAAACTGTCTTAAATCATTATAAAGATAGCATCAAAGGCAAAGTGGCCACTCACTCTGAATTTTGTTTAATTGTATTTGTAGATGGAATTGAACTGAAGTCAAGCAGTTTTTAGAAGAGCTGTCTTCTTCCATCAGATCCATCATGGCTGCGGGTGTAGCAGCATGGCTGCCCTTTGCCAGAGCAGCTGCCATAGGATGGATGCCAGTTGCCAACTGTCCGATGCCACTGGCCCCAACGGATAAAAACAAACGCCAGGATGAGCTCATCATTCTTAATGTGAGTGGTAGGCGCTTCCAGACCTGGAGGACTACCTTGGAGAGGTACCCTGACACTCTGCTTGGCAGCACAGAAAAAGAGTTCTTCTTTAACGAAGACACAAAGGAATACTTTTTCGACCGGGACCCTGATGTCTTTAGGTGTATCTTAAATTTTTACAGGACTGGAAAACTGCACTACCCAAGGTATGAATGCATCTCAGCCTATGATGAGGAGCTTGCCTTTTATGGGATCCTACCCGATATCATTGGGGACTGCTGCTATGAAGAGTACAAAGACAGGAAACGGGAAAATGCTGAGCGGTTGATGGATGACAGTGACTCCGAAAATAAGCAAGAGTCTATGCCAGCTCTGAGTTTCCGGCAGACCATGTGGCGAGCCTTTGAGAACCCCCATACCAGCACCTTAGCCTTAGTCTTTTACTATGTCACCGGCTTCTTTATTGCTGTCTCTGTGATCACCAATGTGGTGGAGACTGTACCATGTGGAACAATCCCTGGCAATAAGGAACTGCCATGTGGAGAAAGGTACGAAATGGCTTTTTTCTGCTTGGACACAGCTTGCGTTATGATTTTTACAGTTGAATACCTTATGCGACTCTTTGCGGCTCCCAGTCGCTACAGGTTCATCAGGAGTGTCATGAGCATCATCGATGTGGTGGCCATCATGCCGTACTACATTGGCTTGGTGATGACAGACAACGAAGATGTCAGTGGAGCCTTTGTGACTCTGAGGGTTTTCAGGGTGTTCCGGATTTTCAAGTTCTCCCGTCATTCCCAAGGCTTGCGAATCCTGGGGTACACACTGAAGAGCTGTGCCTCAGAGCTTGGTTTTCTTCTATTTTCTCTCACTATGGCAATCATCATCTTTGCTACTGTGATGTTTTATGCAGAGAAAGGATCTTCAGCCAGCAAGTTCACCAGCATCCCAGCTTCTTTTTGGTACACTATTGTCACCATGACAACTCTTGGGTAAGTGCTTCACTTCTCTTTCCTGACCAAAGGTCACATGAGCTGATTGGTGGGATGAGGTTCCAAGCTTGTTTCCTTTTCTGAAACATAGACCTAAGCTTCAGCAGCTATTGAGGTCTGTTTCTTTTTCTTTCAATGCTGTCTTGTGCACAACCTCCAACATTTATATGTACAGAACATCATGATGGCTTTGCAGCAGTGACATCTGGTCCATATTGTTGTTCAAAATGAGGTCTTAGTTGTTGCAGTTGTTTTAACTCTGGCATTACTTGCAATCTATCTTGCTTCCAGTTTTGGCATAAAGAGCAGGGATCTGTAAGAATCTTCATTTTTGCGTTGGTTTAAAGAATCCATTCTTTCTTTGAAATTATCTGGGTGCTTTTCACATTGCCTTCAACAGGAGTTTAAATGTTATTAAAGTCAAATAAGGATTGAAATTAAAGAAGAGGGTCTGACCCTGGCAGAAGGTGAAAAAAGGGGGGAGTGGGAAATAACTGAATGATACAATGAACTATTTTTTTTAATGGCATTAAAATCAAGCAGATAAATAGTTTGAGCATCTGCTCTTTTTCAAAGATGTCAGCTTAAGCACAGCAGTACTTACTTATTGTATTGATGATCCAGCCTGAGCTCTTCAGATAAATGGCAGTATACAAATTTAATAAATAAATAAATGACAATGTTAATCATAATCTTCAACAGCAGCAACAACCATCTTTCAGGCTATATTCTTACAGTCAACTCAAGCAGACCTTCTAGGACTTTTAGATCTTCTCCTGATCTTTAGAACATACTCCGTTTGTTCATTGCCCATCCTATGAGTGCAAATATAAAAGCACAGGAATGTCTGCTTGGGATGAGTATGAGAAGACAAATGCTAAACATGTAGTGTTAGCAATGAACAAAAGTCCTGGCGATCCATGCTTAATATTTTTCATGCATTGACAAATGCCTCTGAGGAATAGTGTATGCTTGAAACATTTTAAACTGTTCTTTTTTTAAAAAAGGGGGGGAAGCATGGTGAATTTGGCTCTTGAGACATTTAGATTGTTCCTTCACCCTGTTTCAATCCAGATAGGTATTGAAAACAATGTATTGAGATATGGTAAGGTTTTAGAGAACAGAACTGGCTTATTAACAGGAAATGGCCCAGTTTGCGCCAACAGCTCATGGGTCAATGAAGATTTGTGGCCATTATAACATCTTGTTAACAACACAACACAGAATTATGCATTGAATCAGTGCTTCTTTTCTGGGGGTACTCAAAGGTACGTAGTACTGACAGCTCCCCCCCCCCCCCAATGTTAAAAGTGTGGCACTTACTGTAATACCTTCATGGTGAGTACTGGCACCTTTTTTTTCTTAAAAAAAAGGCACTGCATTGAACCCATGGAAATAGATGGGCTGAAGTGTGTTATAAACCTGCTGTTGTATTGTGGTTCATGTGTCTAAATAGCTCAGACAGGTGCAAATCTAGTCAACAATAGGGAATTCATAGCCCCTGGGACATTTCTACTTGTTCCCAAACTTCACAGGAATCCTGGTGAACTGACAGCTTTTAAAAACAAAAACAACTTTAACATTTCAGGTGAGTGATTTAGTTGCTTAAAACCTGGGGGCACCTTAAGAGAAACACATTTTCTCTCTCCCCCATATGAGACTGAGGTAACCATTCGTTGCTTCTCTTGCAGCTATTTAAAGCTATCCAGCCTTCCATGAGCTCCACATGTAACAAAATTAAAATCTTGTATACAAGACTAAAAAATGTAAACAGTTTTCAGTCAAGTGTGCTTCTGCCTGGGAATTCATGTGGCTTTTGATTTTTAAGCATTTAGCAATTGCTTTCATGATGCTTGATCGCTAGACTTAGTATAGCATTGCTGTTGCTTTGAAAGGCTTTCACACTGTGCATGAACATGCAAGCTATCACAGGTTAAAACTTTTAAAACGTACTTCGTTTTTCAAAAAAACGTGAGCAATTGTAACTTGGGGATTTTCTGTCCTCTTGGAAACATATGAATATGAAAACATTAATAAAGCTTAGGAGATCTGCTTGAATGAATGGTAAACTTCTAACCGGTGGTTTTCAATCAGTGTTGGAATGTCATCATATTATGATCTAGACATTGAGTCATCTCTAAAATACCTAGTTCTCGGCTTCTTTAGTGATAACAGGTCAAAAGCAGCCAAATGATTCAGCTAGGATGGGAGCGGGACAGAAGAAAGATCAACACACACATAAATTCAAGTGATGGTTATAAAAGGATGTTTTGAAGGAGGGTGGTGTTTAAAAGGATCTATTATGACACTGGTGTAAAATGATGGGGAAATTTGATAATGTGTACAAATGTCCACTTTACTTATTGTATGTTTCCAACAAAATGGGACACATCAAAAATTATTTACAAATTGAGAGCCAGTGTGGTTAAGAGCGGTAGTCTTGCAATCTGGGGAACCAGGTTCGCGTCTCTGCTCCTCCACATGCAGCTGCTGGGTGACCTTGGGCCAGTCACACGTCTCTGAAGTCTCTCAGCCCCACTCACCTCACAGAGTGTTTGTTGTGGGGGAGGAAGGGAAAGGAGAATGTTAGCCGCTTTGAGACTCCTTCGGGTAGTGATAAAGCGGGATATCAAATCCAAATGTTGAAGGTGAAAGAAAGCATGCATGTAATCTGTGTTGAATATTGTTTTAGCATGGTTATAACATTTTGCCCTAAATAATACCATTTGTATCATATCGGTTTCAGTGAGAATATAGGTATTTATAAAAATGATGCTATAATGTCATGATACAGAGTTGCTATTAAAAGTTAATAAAACGAGTCTCAAGAATGTTGGCAAACAGCTAGCATCTGAAGGGAGATGCACTTTTGCTGGTATTCCACCCCCACCCCCTTTGTCAATAACAGGATGCTTTGTAATTAAACATGTCTCCTTGTCAAAACATAGCAGGGAAGGATTCCATGGTACCATTAGTTCACTGTTTAGCTAAAAGAAATGGTCCGTTGCATAGAATACCTTTCCTTTCCACACATAATGATAGTCCAAACTGAGTGTTTTTGAGTACTCTAAAGTGTTCTCAGGCTAGGATAATCATAGAAATTATAGTGGGAGTGCATTAAACTAGCTGATGAGGATAAAAAAAAATGTAGACACTAAAATAGGATGTTTAACATTTATGGAAGATCTATTTAAGCTTTCCACAAATCACTTCCCTGCCAAAGAGATTAAACGTACATATATCCGTTATTATTGTTTGTCTGGGGTGATTTTAAATGAAACAAGTTGCTGTAGCAATCAGTTTGTGTAATCTACATTTCTGACATCTTTTAAAGACCTCTTTGATACAGACTAATAAGGTCAAAACATCAGATAACGACATGCTGATGGCAGAATCCAATGCTCTATGTATATCTCTTTCTTTGATCTATCATGTTTATGTGTCATCTGTTACTAGGAATATGAACGAAGTTTGTATTTTTAAAAAGTACTTACAAAATATCATGTGATTCATTATTTTGTGCTCTCATCTAAGTGAGTGCACATGAGTGAGATTCTGTGAGCATTCATTAGATTATGATGCCTAGACCATCTTTTTTTTTTTTTTTTAGGGGAAATTGTAATTTTTTCCCCATAATAACATATCCTGCTATGTTAGCTTCCATTTACCCAAATCATCTCCTTTCTGCATACATGTATATTGTATATCTGTAGTAAAATTATGTAAACCAACCTGTGTTATCTCTACATGGCCAAATTCATGTTGTGAAATACCGATACATATCAAAGTTTTTGAAAACACAAAATCTTAAGAAAGAGAACGAGCTGCAAAGCAGAATGGAATCAATAGTTCATAAAAAATGAACAAAGTGAGATGACATCACAAATCACATCATTATCTGTCACTGGGGTTGTTCAGCCAACTTGTTGCATTAGATTTTTGATGAAGTTCCATGCTGCCTGGTAGTACATGGTTACTTTAAGCTTTGCAAAAGGCAGCTCTAAACCAAGATGGTTGCCATGGTGTTTCTGTACATTCAAGGAAACTGTAATAACATTCTCTAACTTTGGATTTGATTCAAAGATCGAATGCAAATATTTCTCTTTGAAGCAGGATTTTAGGCTTCAAAAATTAGAACTCGAACCTTCATGAGTGTGTGAGTGTGTTTTATATGAAAGTGATTGTCAGAGTTGAGGGCAAATGCACATTGCTTGTGGGTACACAGCAATCAATTTCTCTTATTATTCAAATTACCATCCAACTTGACCCATCCTATCATTGGCCAGAGATAGATGACTGCCTCAGGTGGTAGATGCTGGAGGACATTGGTGGCAGCTCCCTGGCTGTTCCTTGAGTCCCTGGCTGTGCCCTTCTGTTAGAGGACCGAGTTGTGCATGCCCCCTGACTTGACCTGCATCCCACAACTAGACCTTAGTTGTGGTAGAGGTTAGTATTGAAATATTCAGCTGCCAGTCCAGCCAGCTTCTGTAGGTGGATAGGACAACCATCTTATTCTTTGCCACAGGCAGCAAAATGTCTTGCACAGCCCTGCTATTCAAGCTGGACCTGGAAGCTTTCAGAGGAAGTCTGTAGTGACCTATTTTGGCCTCCTATGACTAGCTGTTTTGTCTTATTGGTTTTCCTATAATTTTAACTATTTTAGTTGGAAATGGATGCAGATGTACTAGCTAAATCCATTCACATGACATCCCACAGGTTTCAGGTTCAACACCCTCTGAATTTGAATTTTAGCAGCATCCAAATACTTAAACGTAATACTTTGACACACCAGCAGGCTAGGATTCAGATTTATTTGAGAATTCCAAGGGATTAAGGTAATGCCCCCATCAGTGCACTGCTTCAAGGGTTTGTTGGATTGTCGAGCTCTTTAGACATTTTAACCTGCCATAGAGGAAACCCCAGTAGATTAAAAAAAATAAAAAATACTGGTCCTCCATAAAATTTGCCGTGGATTGTTTCAACTTTACCAAAACAACATATGGATTACACAACAGTTATTTATAGTAAAAGATTGAAAGCATCAAACTTGGCAGCTGTACTCAAGGAACACATAAATCCATTTGTCACACAACTTCGAAAATCTTAGCCATATCTTCTAAATCTCTGCTAAGCTATAATCTGAGTCTGGGACACTGTTTCTTTAGTTTATTTTTAAACAGAGGAAGTATCAGACTGGAATTGTAGGGATGTTTTTGATTTGATGAGAGCTTGATGATGCTGTCTGAGGGGAAAGTTTAACCATGAGGTCAATTAGATGTATCATTATGAAATTGCCTCAGAAATCTACTGCTGTACACAGACGAGCCCCTAGGTACGTAGCCTGCAAAATTTGGAAACATTAAGTGCAGGAGTCAGGGAGTTTTAATGACTGAGGTCTTTTTTCACCCCTGATCAATTGATATCAACTGATAAGTTCTTTTTAAATTCCTCCCAAAACCATTGTGATTGGAAGTACAAGAGAGAAGCCTGATAAAATTATTCCCTTCTTGCAAGCCAGGGCTGCCATTTGCAAAATTATACCCCTTCCTCTCTTGCTCAGTCCCTCCCTCTTCCCTTTTCCTGCGTGGACTAAAAGTCCATTAAACCAATAAAAAATGCCACCCCAGGAATAAGGCTCCCAGAGTTCTCAAGGCTAATCAGGGGCTACCCACACAATTATTACTCAGTCCTCGAACAAGCATACTACATAGAGAGAGAGGGAGCTACAAAAAGAGTGTAGTGTTTGGGGAGGAGCCTACTTGACCCTTCCCCAACTCCTCCGTAGGGTAAAACCATTTTGAGTCCTCTTCCCAGGTGAGTTGGGGTATGGCAAATGCTCCCCCACTCAAGGTTGGGAGTGGCATTCTGCTAAACATTCCACCTTTACCACAAAGCACAGAGGAGAACTCAGCAACAGTTGCACATATTTCCACCTGAACCCAATAAAAATGCCATTGCGGTATTATGAGCAAGATGTAATTGTTACCAGCACACAAACCTTACACCTGCCTCTGCCTGCCTGGTTGGCTGGCTGCCTGCAGATGGTGTCCACTGCAACGTGCTGAAGTGTAGCTACAGCCTTGGGAAAGTGATAAAAATTGTGGCAGCTCTGAGACCAAACCCCATGCCCTGTTTGGAAAGACTTTGGAGGGAAGGCAAACTGGGAGTCAATCCCAACACTGGAACTGCATGGAGGACCTAGTCTAGGGTAGCTGAAAGGGTAATGGGTGAAGACGGACTTTGAATGGGGAGGGCAAAAAGTAGGCCTGAACTGGAAGCAGGACAGAAGTTGCTATTTAATTAATAATAATAAAAATTTATTATGGTCCCAGCCTAGATTCTTTTTTAATTATTATTTGTTTAATTATTATTATTTTAATCCTCCCTTTCTGCCAAAAAAGAAAAAGAGAAAAGGCTTATCGGAGGGTGTGGCGTTTGCCCATTCCTTGTGATTATGTTTGTACAGTGGGATGGAAATGGTTAATGTAGATTGACCAATGAGAAAGCTCAGAGGCGGAGCCTACTTGGTTTTGAGGCTCAGCCCAGGGGTTTACCATGGGGAGATAGAGGAGTGAGGGTCAGACAGAGGCAGTAAAAGTCGAACATAGTGGTTGTGACAGTTATAGTGAGAGACAAGGATAGAACTGAGAGAGAAGAGTGTGACAGTGTGAGATAGTGCCACATCTAGTTAAGGGCGCGCATTTGAGAAACAGTTCTGAACATATTTAAAACTTGTTTGTTCTTCAATAAACTTTAATCTTCGTTGTTGTCTTTACAACCACCTGAGACTCGGTATTTCACCAGAAGAAACTTGGTTGGTGGCAGCGGAAGAATAAAGCAGTGGTGTACAGGTCAATAGTCCGTGAAACGACCGGGGACTCTGTACGAACGCCACAGAGGGTTTATAGATTACTATGATGAAGACAATACTTGCTCTCAGACTAACAAGGCACAACACAAAAGGGAAATGAATTAGTGGGGAGGAAGAAATAAGCAAACTGGTACAAGTTCATTTACCTGCATGGCACAAGAAAATCTTTCCCTAGTGGGAGGCCTTGGTAGCATAGACCAGCCTCAAGCTCAAGAAAGGAATAGTATGGCAGCAACAAGATCAAACCTCTTTGGGTGGAAGTCTGCATCTCTGTGCCAGAAACAGGAATATCTATGGTAGAAGATTTGGAGGCACGCTTGACCCTTGCTAAGGTGTGGGATTCAGTAGGCGCCAACCCTGGATGCCAGTCTTTTGCCAGCCCACAGTCTTTTTGTAAGATTTGCTGGTGTAATGTATATGAAGCCTTTTGAATGGTGTAGCTCTGTATACGAGCATCATTGCCAACAATTTTATTCATGCTAATAATAGCTGCACTCATTGGAATACAATTAAAGGGCTAACTACACTTGGAGAAATTGCTTTGTTGTTCCATTTATTGTTTCCTATTTGAGAGCAATGTATAAAGGTGTTTGCTTGTTTTGGGCTCAACTTTGAGCTTTAGTGTTTCCCAAGGTGCAGCCTGCATGCTACTTTCCAAGTTTTCAGACATCTCTTTCTGCCCAGGCGTCCTTATACAATACACTTTGGGGGTCATTCTGGCAGAAGAGTTCCCCTAATTAGTGTATCTTTGCAATTCCCTACCTGTTGCACATTGCCAAAATCATCCAACTCCACTCTCTGGTGTACTGTATGATAAGCCTGTACCTTGCCCACTTCCTGCTGTGGCAGTTTGCATCTGAATAGTTCTCTGAGCTTTTATAAACAGTTTGGCACTACTGGCTCAGTTGCACTTTACAGCCCAATTAGCATTTTTTGAAATAGGGACGGAGCAGCCAAATTTATGTGTGCTTTAAAATAAGAATTAGAAGAGAGCGTTGGTTTATTTTACGCATCGAGGAATTTAATCTGGGTAATTGAGTGACTGCCCCTTTTCCTGTTAGCAAAACAGATTGACTTGTAAATAATTGGGAATATGTAGGTTAACTTCTCTCACATTCCATTCACTGAGGCAGAGAAGGGTTTGCTAAAAATAGATGTATTCAAAAAATATAATTAGATATCTGAAGCTTTACCTGCTAATCTTTTTTTTTTTCTTTCCCAGACGGACCTAGGGAATTTTGCCTATGTATGAAGCAGGTCTCTTGTTCATTTAAGATTTGCCCAAACAAAATGTCATATTTGTGGGAGGTGGGCAGACAACCATGAACTCTGTAAAATGCAACATAAAATACATGAAGAATAGTAATACCAGTAGCTGATGGCTGAAAGGAACCCAGAGTACAAAACTTTGCATCATTTTACTTAAATTTAGCTAGGTGAGCCAACAGAAATGCAGACATTATGCTTTTGGTTTTGGGGTGTATTCTAGTAGTAGAGCGACATCAGTGTAGCTCATCACCTAAGACCTTTCCAAAAGAAGGTAGGAGGGAGAAAAGAGCTAGTGATGTACCAAGTATTGTGTGCATTCAGTTCCCTCTCTTAAAAACAAAAAGAAACAAGGCACTAAAGACACAATTGATTTTGCAACTCAGTTTTGAGCTACAACAAACTATTCCTGAACTTATTATTAATTAATCTTAAATACAACATTTCTTATTTACAAAGGGCTACACTCACACGCAGCATGAGAAGTGGGTCACTCTTTTACACATTTTGCAAAGGAGAAACTGAGCTGACAGCTAATGATATGGCTAACCATGCTGTGTCCAGTTCATGACTGAGAAGGAATTTGAATACCGGTCTCCTTGAATAAGTCTGGCCTGGTCACCATTAGACTTCACTGGTTCCAGAAAGGGTTACCCAGCTTCATGCTGCTGGCAGAACTCCATTTCAGAAGAACTAGAGTTGCCAGCTCTTAGAAGGCAAAATTCTGGCTTCAAAGCAGATTGCAGGAAGTGCTGGAGCAATATAGAAGGGGTGGAGAACCCAGCAGCTAAAGAGAGAAAGCCAGCAGAAAATGCTCTGTTCACATAAGGCAAGGATGAGGAAATATTTTTAGCTTGAGGGTCACATTCCCTTCTGAACAACTCTCCAAGCATCACACGCCGGTGCTGGATGAGTCTAAAGGCAACAGTGGGCAGAGCAGTCGACGTGAATTTTAGCCTTGTACAGTAGGCTAGTTTCAACGCACTCTCATGAACTTTTCAACCCAAATTAAACATGCAGGAGGGGGAAAAGAAGGAGAAATACGCTGGCTGCTTATAAGTGTCTCCTTCTTCTCCCTCCTTATCACCAGACTGCAACACCCTTTATGATAGTTCTGGATCATTCTGGGTGGACCCAATCCAACCCAGGGTTATCTGGAGCTGCCTCAACCCACTCCAACCAAATCCCTGGTCAATCTGAATTGCCCCAAATTGGTTTGGGTGGGATCCTGCTTAGGGCCTAAATTCAAACACAAACCAACAACATCCTGCATGCATCTTCAGGGACCAAAAGGGACAGGTAATGTCAGTAACCCTCACAGAGTGATGCACAAAACAAAGGAATCAAATTATACATCCTGCATCTTTCCTAGCTCTGTTGTGCTCATCAGATTCTGATTTAACAGAGGCTGTTTTTAATTTAGCATCATTTAAATTTTACTCAGGAGATTTTGTAATGAAAGTGTTATTCTTGGGTGCATCTTTAATCAATCTGAATTACTGAAACGGCTCTTCAGAATTAATTCCAAATCAGCTGCCCACTTCAAGGCAGAAACATTCTCTTCTGGAGGCTGGCAGCCTCCTCCATCCTTCTGTGAAATGAAATTAAATATTGGGCATCTGTGTGTGCATGGGAAAAGTGAGAAGTGGAAGGGCCATAGCTTAGTGGTAGAGCATCTGTTTTGCATGCAAAAGGTCTTGGGTCCATTCCCAAACATCTCCGGGTGGGGCTGAGGAAAATTCCCTGTCTGAAACCCTGAAGAACTGCTGCCAGTCAGTGTGCTAGATGAATCAGTTGTCTGACTTGGAATAAAGCAGCTTCCTAAGTGAGTTCATTTACACAAGTATTGTGTAGGGCACTTTTAATGGAAATTTTCTCAGGGGAAGCAAGAGTTGGTGGGACTTGACTATCATGTATGGGGTCCACCATCAAGGTGAGAATGGTCTGTACTTTGGACAGTTGTGTAGAACAGGAGATTTTCAAGCAGGGATGCGGAAGTAACATTTATCTTCCAGGGATTAAAAATACAAGAGACCTCTCCTCCCTTGCAATTGGTCAGTTTAGCCTCAGATTTTCAGAGGTACAACTGTTTTCATGCACATCAAGCACAGGGCAGGTCTGCAAAAGCAACATGTGGTTTTCCAAACTAAACCCAGCATAGCCACTATAATGAGACCTAGGAGTTAAGCAGTCACATTCTTGGCCACCAGCAATGTAGTGAAACAGAGTTATGATGAGCAGGGGTGGCTTTGATCTGACTCTCCAAGCACATTTTTCTGGCCCCAGAAAACCTTGATAATGTAGGTGCGGCACTGTGGTGGGCCTAGCACAGTGTCCTGATACAAATCACCTCCTCCCTGGTTATCAGACTGGTCCTTGATAAATAAAGAGGGAACAAAAATCCTCCTGCTCAGCTGATCTGAATGGAGCAGCTAACAGAAGGGGTTGTGGGAATGTTCATGGTCTGTAAGTGTGCATACATGGGAGAGTGTGGAGTGGCTTCACTCACTTTTGACCATGCCGACCAATGACTCATGACCTGCTGTGAGGGATGGCTAAGGGTAAAGGTGGCTCTCAGCCCAAAAAATCATTACCAGTCATGATTATGAAGATAAAATGGGGAGTCCTGTTTATTTTTATACCACCCTGAGCTTAGGCATTCTGAGCTTAGGCTCCTGCCCAGAACTGTGGTTCATCGTGTTTCCTCCTCTGCTACACCACTGTCAGAAACATAACACCAGGCCTGTACAGGAAAGTCACACCCCTTCATGCCCAGCTTCCAAACTTCTAAACTTTCCAAAGAAAACAGGTACCTACCATTGGTAACAGAAGATTGGGTTAGATGGACCTTTTGTCAACCCAGTAGGACATCTTATGATCTTAAGACCCTTTGTGCTTCAGTCTACCATAAAAATAACCAATGAAAAGATCTCAGCATTTAAATGGGAATTTAAACAAAGGCAATGAACTAAATTAGTGAAAGATGGGATGCTAAAAATGGGTAAGAAAATTGCCAATAAACAATATGAGCCATTCATGTTAGGATAGAATAAGCAGTCACGAACAAGCAGGCTATTGCTGGAAAAGAATAAAAAAGCTGACAGAATTATTCTTTTTAAAATTATCTGCATATTAACCTCACATGTAGGTTTCAGTTGTGGTTCAGCGTGTCCAAAAATCTGAAATTGCCACATGACTGAAGACATTTCTTGTTTTTAAAATATGATTTTACTCAAAAGTTTCCCTCCAATATTGCATCTTGACAAGAACAAATATATATTTGACAGGGTTGTACAACATTTCTATCTGTCAGGACATTCATATAAATATTTCTTCTTCTATTCCAGATCTTTCTGAATTGAAATATTTCAGATTGAAATATGTCAAATTATTAACATGTACTGGGTTTCCGAAATGGAAGACATTTATTTTACTGGAAGGCTACACTAATCAGTGCAGAGTAGATCTATTTGTGCAGAAAGCCTAGCTTAGTTAAAGGCAGGGTTTCAGTGTAACTTTCTAAATCTGGGAAGCTTTGTGTTATTTTGTTTGATTTGCTGTTACTATCTGTCATCAATCACTGGGAAAAACGCTGCATTTTAAATTTCGTAGTAGATTGTTCATTGTAGGCTGATTCACACATGACTGTTCACCACTACAACATCAACTGTGTAAATGGGCCATCACAATTCTAAACATTTTCACATCACCCAAAGTCACATGAGATGGAATGGGCCCAAGATTGAGTCATCAAATGTGGAGCTATCAAGTACAGAGAAATACAGCAAGATACAGGCAATGTGAGACAGTCTTCAGTCATGCGAAACCACTGATTGGTAGCCTAGCACAACAAACTTGAATTCTGAACACATTTCCTATAAAGGGCATATTTCTTGTGTAGGCCATATGGACCAACCAAGTTCAAAGGCAGTATACCACTAAATACTATTTGATGAGGAGCAACAGCCGGAAAGGACTCTTGTCTTCACATCCTGCTTAGAGGATTCCCTCTATGGTTGGCCTCTGTGGAAACCAGGATAATGGACTAGTTCAAGACTGGGGAATCTGTGTGCATACAGATGTTGTTGGTCTACAAGTTCCATCATCCATGACCCTTGACCATGTTGACTGGGGCTGATGAGAGTTGAGGTGTAACAACACCTGAAGAAGCCCACAGGCTCCATATCCCAAGACTACATGCATCTATGGTCAGGGCTCTTCTTACATACTTAGAATATTTCCAGTTGTGTATCTTACGGATGAAAACAGACATGACATTTCACGTGCAGGGAAAGTAATTTGAACACCTAAAGCTCTGAAAACAAATGCCTCAAAAAGAGTCCTACCTTTAGTTCTGTCTGCCAATAGAAATAGATATTTAATTCCTCTTGTCTATAGTTTCAGCGGATGCAAGTTCCTCCTTTGCAAAGCTCATACAAAGTAATAGAAGACATACAAGAACACTGTCATTGAATTCAGCAGTGTAATTAGGGGTAATTTTAGACACTGGAATTAATGGTCTTATTCCTCACCTCACTCCCAATAATATTGTATCACTTCAGAATGTGGATTTGGGGGCTCTCTTGCTCATCCTTCTGAGGGGTGTCCTGGACCACTTGGGTCCTATTCTCACAGCACCATTGGATTTGTCCAAGAGGCATAACACCTTAATTTCACACCTTAATTTCATTTGCTGCTTTCTTTGATGCAGACGGAGGGGAGGAAAATAACTTATCAGTTGTGGGCCATTGCTTTTCTCAGGCCCTACCTGGAAAATGATGTTTTTGTCCAGGCAATCATATTTTATTAGTCACAGCTCAAACTATTCTCATTAAACTTCATGGTGTGGAGGGGGGGGAACCATGTTTAAATGTAAGTGCTGCCCTTCACATTTTAACCTCATTGATGAAAATACAGATGAGATGCAACACACTCCTTTTGCAATGTCCAGCTCTAAAATTTCATCAGCATCTCTCTTTCATACCCACCTACCCAGTCTAAAATTCACAACCCAAAGAACAGCTTGAATTTAATATAGTGGAAGTCCAATCAAACAATAAATTGATAAACCATTTTTCTGAGCCTTCTGTGCTAGTTTCTTTCCTGTATGAAATGAACATCATTTTCCCCAAACTAATAGATTTGAAGATATTACAGGTAACATTTGTTTGTATTGGGAATCATTTCCTTTCCACAAGCCACACTTGTGGATATATCTTTGCAGCTAAGTTATATTAAAAGGAAATGTACATAATAAGTCAGCCTGAGATCCCATTACAAGACCAAAACTTCCCTGGAGAGAACCTCCCCTTTCTAGCATTGTTTCTGATACTATATTAACTGCACAATCCTAGTCCTATTTATTCAGAACAGCCATGAACCTACTGAGATTGATCGGCACTACTTCTGAATTAACAGAGATAAAATTGGACTATTATTTGCAGTCACAGAATCAGGGCCAGGGGAGTTTCTTTCCACCTTATGAAAAGATTAAATTCCAAATTAATGGAATCAAGCTTTGAGTCATTGCATTTTATCAAAAGATCTTATAGAGAATCTAAACTATTATCCTAGGCATGTATTCACTTTTTCCACTGAGCAGCAGATATATCCCTGATATATATATAAAAAACTGCTATTGCAAATCACAGTCCTCTCAGTTTCAGGTTTTTACACACAGAGAGAGAGAGAGAGAGAGAGAGAGCGCTCTTGGAAGAAATACAAGGTCAAAGAGGAGGAGTTCTAAGCCAACCTTCCCAATTTAGTGCCTTCAAAATGTTTTGGACTACAACCCCCACCAAGCCCAGTCAACACAAGTCAGCTTTCTGGGGCTGACGGGAATTGTAGTCCAAAACATCTGGAGGGCACTAAGTTGGGGTAGGCTGTGCTAAATAAATAGTATACTAAGTGCTAAAACCAGATGGCATTGCAACTGCCATGGTATCTATCTACCCATCTGTGTAGCATTCAGTTATATAATTTTCCAACTGTAGTCTGAAATGATAACAGTCCTGGAAGATTATCACGGAGCCTCTCATGATCATTGGACAACACATTACTAGATCCTGGTGACTGTTTAGCTAGAGATCATGGAGCTGATCCACCAATACTTGTTTTGCAAGAGTTTGCATGCATGTGGAATAGAAATGAAATATATGCTCATGAGTTTTTCCCTGAATAGGACAAACAATGTGAGTTTGCCTTGAGGTAACCCTGGCCAGAGTCTTGGACATTGCAATGTAATGTTAATAGTATGGGATATACAGGTGATGTCTCTCAATGAGAGGTACAGTGGTACCTCGGGTTAAGTACTTAATTCGTTCCAGAGGTCTGTTCTTAACCTGAAACTGTTCTTAACCTGAAGCACTACTTTAGCTAATGGGGCCTCCTGCTGCTGCTGCGCCGCCGGAGCCCGATTTCTGTTCTTATCCTGAAGCAAAGTTCTTAACCTGAAGCACTATTTCTGGGTTAGTGGAGTCTGTAACCTGAAGCGTATGTAACCTGAAGTGTATGTAACCCAAGGTACCACTGTACTTGTTCGAAGGTTCCTTCATGATACAGAGAAAGGAACAGAGGGCATGCCTTTTCTCTGTTTAACTAACACTGATGTAATCTAGATCTCTGTGCGGGGGGGGAAATTTACCGTAACTGGTTTTGAGTCAGGATGTGAGACAGACTGGAGAGGCACACAGAGGGCTGAGCTGAGTTTTGGGGAGTCTGTA